TGCAGCCAAGAACAGCTGCACTCTTGCAGGGGATGCCCAGGAAATACAGAAATTCCTGGATCCTTCCCCTCTCCTGCCGACATCGAGGTTCTGGGCACACCTGTGTGCAACAGACACAGCTCGGACTTCTTTTATCCCCTACAGACCTATACACTAATCTTTCCAGAATGATTTTATTTTCCCTGAAACATTCTATCAACCATCCCAATACAAAATACCCTGTCTGCTATTTCACCATTTAATATAACTATGGGGAGGGACAGGTCAGTGTTCACAGAACAAGAAATCAGCTACGGGAGCATCCCTGAGCCTCCAAGTGCCTGGGTAGTTTATTGGCAGGGTACGTATTATGGCCGAAACATCTCCCCCGGGAGTGCTAGGCCAGGACGTGGAGAAAGCACTATCTTTGATCAGAAATGACAGACACAGATGGGCTTTGATCAGACAGAATCAGGGGCAGGTTTACTTTTCACATAGTTTTCTGTATTAAAAAATACATCAGTGAAATCTGTTACAGGCAGGGACAGGACTACCAAGTACACAACGTCAATAGACTACTTTCTGATTTTATTTTTGTTAAATTACTTTTGTTACTGCTAAAAAAATAATGAAAAAACAAAAACAAACAAAACAAAAAAAAAAGGAAATATAATTCAAGGCTGTTGATTTTCATCTCTTGAAATTTTAGTGACAAGATCAAATATCAGACCCCTGTTACAGAAGATGGATAACTGACCAGAGCTAGATAAAAACCATACAATTCTCTTCTTTAAAAATAGTTTGGGTTTCCAATGAATTTGTGACCACTGGTCATCAGAAACACACATCTATAGCTTGAGAAAATGGAGATACAGACAGTTTCTGACAATGTCCTGTTCTCTAAACACAATGTGGGAGCTTTTCTCTTCAAAAAGACGCAGTAACAGCCAAGCCTTAAAAAAATCTCTTTCGATTTCCAACACTATGACTAAATCTCTTTGGGTGGGGTGGGAAAAAAACACACATGGTACTTCTCTACCACAGTTCTGCTGTCAAAAGTAATACTGCATCCTTTGTACAACACTGCACGCGTTGCAAAGGTGGAAAGAGAAAGAGTGCATGTATCTTGCATTTGAAATGACAAGGCCCTCCAGATTTGCCTTATAAAATAACCAAAAACATAAAAAGAAAGAGGAGAAAGGAAAGCTGCCTTAAGGGAAAAAAAATTTCCGCGCACCACAGTATTTTCTAGATTATATCGACAGACTGCAGAGCTACTGGGCTAGGTAAGGGATTTTCTGCACATACCCCAGGACAGTCACTCTCCTGTACATACCCCAGAAATGTTCGTCCCGTAACATGATCGCTCTGAAGTTTGACCTACAGCACCTCTTCCATGTCGAAGACTGAACAGAGCTAGAGTTGGTATTAGCCTGGACCGAGAGCTAGATTCTGGCATCGTGTGACCATTTAACAGCAGCCAGACAGTTGTCCATTTAGATAGCTTCCCTGGCAGACATACCAGCAGCTTCTGCCTTCCTAACATTTGATCCCAGTTTCAAAAAAATTATAAAAGCGTATGTGTACGTGTATTTATAACAGAAGGTGTCTGTCTGCCTAAATATCACCACTTTCTCTCTGTCCTCGTGAAGAGCTCTAGGATCTCCACGTGTTCTTTGGCAGCAAGGACTGCCAGCCATCAGGCTGAGAAGTCACGTGAGCCACAGTCTAGCTCTCCATGCCCAGCATTGCTATGGTAGATTTTACACAACCCTTTTCCTTAAAAATATCTCGCAACTTTTTAAAATCCTAAACAGATAAAGGATTTATGCACCACTCAGATAGGTTAGTTCATCTTAAATTTGTTCAGAGGATTTATCAGTGCCACAGGACGTTGTTTCTTGCAGCTTACACAGCTTGCTTCCTTCCAGTTCCAGTTTGTACATCCACTGTGGTTCAAAATATGCCTGTAGGTGACATTATCGTGGCTTATTTGATACACATTTTCCAAAGGCTGGACGTATTCACAGTTTGGTGCTTCTGATGTGTATTCAAAGGAAAATACCCCACTTCAGTTAGTCTGATAACTCAATATCAGAGTCCTCTGATTTGACTTTGGCAAGTTCTTCATGTACCTCCCTCACCATAAGAATACGTGTTAACATGATGTCCAAGGTTCCTGGGTCTATTGGCAATGTGGAATACCACATGGGGCTATTGGGTACACAGGAGCGCTCAGGTTGAAGGTAAAATACATCACTTCTCTGCTTCACGCTTTCAGAACTGTCAACGTAAAGAAAGGAAGAGCACATTATCGGAAGGCAGCATTAACAGCCCTACTCACAAAAACGTTAAGGAGAAACAGCAAAGAAAATGAAAGTTACATTGAGACGACAACACTGTAAGTTAAACAGCATAATTCAAATCTTTTTGTTAGTGGCTTGGTTTCCCCCCTTCAACTTAGGGAACAGTTAAGTTATTTCCAGGTCACTTAGCATTAGTTGTTTATAAAGAAAGAAAGAAAATTAGAGTGACTTCTTTACAGATGTGGTTCTTCAATCGTAGTATCATCCAATTAACGGTACTAGTATCTTGATATGATTGATAGATGCATTTGACATCCAATCTCTGAATTACACTGGTTCTAGTATTCCAGAATTGCTGTGTACTTTGGCACAAGGAATGTTCAAGAGCTAGCAAAACTGAATCCTAGCTTGCCTGCTCATGGTGCAGAATGGTGGGCCCATCTGCTTGAAAGACTGACTGTCTGACTCTGAGGCAGCTTTCAGGCTCTGGCAGGAAGACACAAAGTCCTCTAAAGCAAGGATCCCTCCTGCCTGCACTTTGGAATATTCACATTAAAACAGCAAAGTGAATTTTTACTGCTGCTTGCACCACTGCAGGGGCTCAGCTATGATATATGATGAGGAGCATGAAAATGTCTTCCCAGCCCAAGGACAGCTAAAAGCTTCTAATGATATGCAAGTGAATACACGGAAGGAAAGAAGAGGGAGACAAAGAGTCAGGACAGGTGCTAGGCATGCCTTTGCCTAAGTAATGGAACTATTTGTAGTAAGCTCAGTAGGTGCATTTTTGAGGGTGATTTATTTGAGTTTTAGCTGACACTAATGAGATGCTGTTTCATTTTGCATGTGTATTTTCTTTGAAGAGAGAAGAACATCATATTCCACCTGCTCAATGATCTAACTAAAGTTTATATAGAAACAGGAGAGACAAAATGATTTATATCTATGTCCCTGCTAAATAGTCTCCTTTCTAACTCCTAAATACAAGTTAATCTCATATTTCAGCAGGCAAAAGCTATCAGCAGTTTTACCTAATTCACACTTTTTCTACCCTCTTTCACAAGGAACATGATATCAGGGTATTAGTTATCTTCTCAAAAGAAGGATCCTGTATGGGAATTAAGGGAGATGAGAATGTCATAGTCACTGTGGTAATGTCCCCTGTTTACATTTACACCCTGTGGATGTGTAAACAGGCATTTAAAGAATACATCTCTCTCTGTAACTCCACTCTTGACTCAACATCAGTAACAAATACTACCTATTTGCTGAGTCTAACAGCAGTGCTGACACTGGAAGTCCTATCAGCATGGTTTCATTCACACTGAGGGACCAGGAACTGGAGAGAAGAGCCACAGCACAGGCACAAAAAGTCCAAGTGGGATCCTTGCCCAAACGCCTGTTCTAGTCTACATACAGGTCAAAAATCAAGTTCTGTCACTTACCATTTTGATAAGTAAAATTCATAAAGTCGGACTGGACATCGCAGGGGATTATCTGTATTTTCAGCCATTTCCACTGCTGTTGGAATCTCCTCATCTTCACTGCGTTTCCTTTTGCCTACAGATAATTTATCTGCATACACAAAAATGGCATCACAGAAGTTCAGTGAAACACAGCGCCTTCAAGAATAAGCCCTAGTCACTTAGCCTAGCACCTAGTGATAGGACTTTGCATCACACAGAAACACACTACTTGAACTGATTATCTGTCACATGCAGGTCAACTGGTTTGATCTGCTGGATGGGCAAAAGACTGCATATGCTACAGGCTGTCCACAGCCCATTCCTCTTCTCGAAAATCAACAAGAACTAGGATCTAGCAGAAAAACACAGAGGATATGATTTTTCCTAATAAAGTAGAATTCATGTAACACACTGGCACTATTAACTGGAGAAGCCAATAGGATCAAAGACTTCTCTTTTCCAAATACCAAAAAATAACTGCAAACAAAAATCTGTCTTTCTTTGCCTCTGAGGTCAAAAGGCCAGTCCCTACTCATGTGCAAGCCTCTAGCTTCATCTAAACTGCTGTTCTCCACTTGGGCTGCCTTGATTGTTCACCCCACAGACCTAGGATAAATCTGGGAATTAAAGAAGACCCAGATAAGAGTCTGGACCTCAAGAATATAAAGTCCCGAGAAAAGGACTTCAGAAAAGGCCTTTAACTCATGCAGTAGTTAATAAAGCTTTATGCAAGCCTAGGATGTTATAAAAGACTATTAAACAAATTTGCAGCCAAATGTGTGGCATCATCTCTTTTGTAAGTTTTTACTGGATGCCTTGGCTCATGAAGAATTTCTCTCTAAACCTTACTAGAGTGAAAAAATTTTGAAAATGTACAGGAAAACAGCATATTCATAGCTCTGCTTACTGCATAACGTATTTTTCTCCCCAGTCCTTTTTAAAAAAAGGAGCAGACAATACAAATATGACTGCTAAAATTCAGATGATCAGAAAGCACTCACTTACCTGATTCTACCTCTTGTTTTTGAAAGGGTGGGAAAAAACGTAAATATGTCATCTTAGTATTATACTTCAGAGTTCGGGTGCGTCTCATAACATGGGCAAAGGATAGTTTCAGGTGCTCACTGACATTCTTTAGTTGGAAGTATTTGGTGTTGAAGAATAGAAGTGTGTTCAATAAAACGATAGGGGAATATGCACCCAGCTGTTTACATTCCCACAAGTGTTCCTCTTCAATTCTTGAGAACATATAACCTAGGAACAATGGGCAAAGAAAAACGAAAGGGGGTTATTTATGCAATTTTAGGGCTGTCCCCATATTCAGTTACAAAGGAACAGCTTTTACAGGCTGTGCCTAATCTAGCAGATTTTCAGAATTTTCCCAAAGCAATAAAAGCATCATACATGAGCAGGGTGGGAAGGGAGAAATGACTAAAATTAAGTAGGCAGATTTTGCCAGAGATGCATGTAAGTCCTCTTTCAGCTAACCTTCTATATTAATGAACTGCATATCATATCAAATTCAGACCTATCATAAGCAACTGTAATTCCAATAAAACCAAAAACACTGCATGCATGAACGTAAGAGGGAGCATGGAGAATCAAGCTGTGGAACAGCATGATCTTCCAATATCTGAAGATTGGAGAGAAGGATATAAAGGAAGATTGCAGACACCAGCAGAATCTCACTAAGCTCCAATTTCACTGTATTAAACCACAGTCAGCCAACTGCAAAAATGTGTAATTCCTAAGACACGGAGCATGAGTTTAAAATGTACCATCTTTATATACAAATAGCCCATTGTGATTATCGTAAGTCAGTTAGGAAAAGGAGATAATAGGGGCTTATAAAAGATTTGTGGTGAAAAAAAAACATCGCTGTATGCAGCAGTCTATAAGTAACTGGATTATTTCTGTATTAACTAAAAAGTTTGTTTTCTAAATGAAAAGCCAGTCGTGGATCCAGAGGAGTTGCGAACATCACTCAAGTGTCGCTGATACTCTGAAAAAGATCTTATGTACTAATATGGCTGGTGTCCAGCTTTATAAACTGCATGATCATACTTGAAGACGAATTAGAAATGTCTGCAGAATTTGGGAACTCTTAATTTGGAAGTGACTGAGGTGAGATGAACTTGGAATTGAGGAGTCAAGACACGATTACAATGATTTGCTAATGTGATCCTCGGATTTATCAGGAGGAGTATTTCCAGTAGTAATAGGGAAATACCAGTGCAACTGTACATGGTATTTGCAGTAACTCATCTCCTATACTATCTACAATTCTGGCTACCTGTATTCAAAAAAGATTAGCTAAAACCTGAGGGAAGACAAGAAGTAGCATGTTGACTACAGGAATGGGAAGCCTGTCTTTCAAAGGAGTTGAGAGATTGATCAGAGGCAAAGGTATATTTAAGTGTAATCCGTAACTGGGAGAGACAGACATAAAATCAATGATGCTAGTCTACCACAAACAATTATGTGGTGGAGAAAGAGGAGACTAATGTGAATGCCTCAGCTCACATTCTTCTTCATGGCATTGAGAAAATATTAATTTATAATACGGCTTTGTCATGCAGCTACACAAAACAAAACAATTGTCCTACCATTTGGAAGAATTGTAGGTTCCCAGATTTTCAAAAGTTTTGTAAGTTCAATCATAAACCTGGAATAGGGCTCGGTAAAAATGTTATCTATTCTACCATTCTCAAACAGGTACTACAAGAGAAAAAAAGGAAGACATACAGTTTGTGATTATATAACATTGCAGAGAAGACACAGGACATCAGATTCTTTTCCTTTCTTATGTCCCAGTGTCATATGGTCCAAAACACTTTGTTGAAATCTTCAGTTAAGATATCAAATCAAATTTTCTGCAGGGACTGGGACCTCCCCAGTATGAAATGAGAGATCTAGGCAAGAATTATTGTTAATATTCCAAGCTCTAGAGCTGTTTTCTGAAAAATCATCATCCTCTAAGTGTTAAATATTCTTGAAAAAAGTCTGCCTATAAAAAACAGAAGAGTTATTGAGTATTTTTCTGTTGAAAAGAACTTCACATGCTAATACCTCCTGATAATAGATACAGGCCTAGTGCTAGGCTGCTGAAATAGCTCGACTTACAGCATCAAGGTAAAAGTCCCTTAAACTCTTGTCAAGCAGCAGTCAAAAAAAGTTTTCTACAAGTCAGGAGTGTGCATCAATAAATAAGTCAAAACTGGAACACACAAAAATTGCTGATACTCCTAGACCCTAACAATGGCACTTTGAATTTTAAGTCTTTCTACATTTTTTTCAAGCATAGCCAGGAAAAAAAATCAGATAATTCCATGCCTAGTCAAATGATAGGTTTTACACTAGAAGTAGCTTTTGATTCCTTATCTCCAAATGACTGTTTAAGGAAAGGAACAAGCAGGCTATTCTAAAAAAAAGCCCCTAACAGAAATATACTGAACATTGAGTTTTAAACAGAAGTTAATATTATACTAGGTTTGTACTGCAACTGTTTCAAGGCAGGTAGCAAGGACTTATTACATTACTCCTAGCATTCATTAATTACAATGCTATTATTCCCATTGTATTTTTTCTGTAAATATTGCCAACACAACAGGTATCTGTCTAGCCACTGAAGGCGCTCAGTCTTTGCTGGGTAACCTCTTCCATATAAACTTGTATATTAGAAGAGCATTGTGCAACTACTTTAGATCTAAAACATTCCATCATAAAGCAAATATTTCTGAGGAGAAAATCTTTCCTATACATGAAAAAGGATCAAAAAGGTACCAAACCCGAAGATTTGTGTCTAGGTAGAAACACCTAGCCCTCCACGCCACAATCCTCCAAAGTACAGAAGAAGCCTGTTCACTCTGATCATAAAAAGGTCCAGACAAACTAGTCAAATACAGGATTAACACAGACTAGGAATAAAGCACAAATAAGATACATTCTTGCCTCCTCTACAAAAACCAAGCAGCTACATGGGACCATGGATACAAAGCATAAATAACCAGAGCAAGTATTGTATGTTCTCAGCAATACCCTAATTCTCTGAGTTACCTGCTGAATTCCAAGGCACAAGTATAAGATGCTGTCAGGATCATATTTTTCTCCATTTGGTCTCCGCACCTCTTGAATAAACTGGCACAAGCCAAAACTCAGCTCAGCAAAAGTGCATGAGAGAATGTCCTCCTTGAGTTTCACAGGACGAACTGTGGCCAAGAAAATTATTAGAAAAATTAACTTAATTCAACAGATTAAGTCTTTACACATTCCTTATTATTTCATGTAGGCAGAACTATTAAATCTTCTATCTCATACATGAAGTACCCTGCATGACTAAACTTGTGAACTATTTCCTATCTTTTGGCTAACAATTAAATGAGGATTTGGCCAATAAAAAACAAACCACCTGCATGTGCAACCAGTACAAACGCTGCAACTGAGTAATAAGGCTGCAGGTATTTAAAGCTAAGACATCTAAAGGGAGTCTGCTGAATCCAAAGATGTAGCATGGCAATGGCTGCACGAACTCGAGGCTGGCAGCGTAGGGCTGATAAATAGGTTTCACCTCTATAGCTGGGCTCAGGGGAATTCCAAGTGAGAGAAAGATCTTGAGTATTTCCCAATAGTTCTGGACACGAGTTGAGAGCAGTATATTCAACTCCTTAAAGGGAGAAGGAATGAAGAGTTGAATGGGACGTGCATGGGATTCGGAAAGGGAAGCAGAGCAACCAGGGAATCGATCAGTCAAAGGACCTGCAGTGAAATTACCAGGCTTGGCTGCTCCACACCTTACAAAAGTGCCTGCTTGGGACTAAGCAGGGAACCTTTTTGGGAGGGATGGGGGTGGACACAGTTTTCTGGAACTGACTGTAATATTTGCTTCCTTAGCCACAAGAAGAAAACACAGTAACTCATGTGATTGCTCTTCTTCTGGGAAACAAAAACCAGCTGTTCTCATATAATGACAACAAAAATTCCAAATAAGAGAGGAAAAAGCAGAGCTCGTTCTAACTAGAATTTTCCCTTCGGGATCTTTCTTATATATAAGCCCTGCCACACTTAATTCTTTACATTGCAGAAGTATTTCATATGTTTTGCTCTCTTCCCTACCATCCCCAAAAAGCTCAATATTCCTAACTTAAATTCTCTGCTCGATTCTGAAAATTTGCCCACAAAACTCTCAGTGCAAGCGTGTAAGACAGATTTGAGACCTGGGAAAAGGGAAGTTAGACACTGCCAAATCCCAGGACTGCTGTACTTTTGCGTAAAAAAAAAAAAAAATCCATAATTAGAAAAACAAACAAAAGTGACATTTATATTGTCATTATTATCTATCACCCTAGTGAGACACAAGGAACAATTCATGCCTTTTAAAGTTAGTTTCAGGCAGGTTGCAGCACAGAATGGGTAGACTTTTGGAAAGTTTCTTTCCAGCTGTGAAGCCTAGAAATAAGGTGTTAAGATTTTAATGTTGTGGTACATAATTTTTTTTACAGCGAACAGTTATGCTGATAAACAAATACTTTGTGAACGCGTTAGCTACAGATGAAGAAGATAGGGCCAAGTTGGTGTTGTCAGCTTAGAATTATGGCCTGATAATAGCTCAGTAGAGCTCTGCAGCTGCATAAAGCATCTCTTCTACAAATGAGGAATTACTACATATAAATGAATGCAAAGTGGAAATTAAAAGAATAACATTTCTAATGTTGAAAAGAAATCTGGTATTTTAAAGCCTGTTTTAATAGGTAACAGATCAATTAAGAATGTAATAGCTATGATTTTTAAATGCATGACAAGACATAAGACGGTATTCCATAAAATCTTTTCTCCACTCATGGATATTTTAAAACTCAGTAATATCTAATCCTATTTTTTATTTGAACACCATATTGTGCCAAGTGGTCTTCAACTAAGTATTTCTGTTTCCGCTGAGAGACAAAAATTTACCTGAAAACTTCAGGTCCCCTTGTTCCTCCTGTGCGTTTTTCCATTGGACCCAGTTTTTCCAGGCGTTTACCCCATACATATACTTTAGGGTCATCCCAGAAACAGAGCATCCTGGGTAGGAGCCCTGCATCAGATTCCGGGGCTCTACAGAAACTACAGACTTCTTCCGTCCCTACAGGCAAATGAACAAACCAAACCAAACAAACATTTAATAAGCTCTTCATCTACGGATGCTTAACTTGATCTCACATTATGATGACATGGTAACAAAATCCTACTCTCATGACAGAATCTGAGTGGATATATATGTATTTTTAATATGTGGACAAACATTAACAACATTTTACAGAAAAGGTGCAATAAAATACAGTAATTCTCACTGTGATATATATCCACAGAAATATATTCTTCTCTAGCTACACAAGAAAAAATTTATTCTTTCCTGTACATGATGACATTACTTAAAAGACATCTTTTTTGGAGTTTTTTGAAATTATACCCATATAATAAACTTTGCGCACTAAAAAAAGCATTTAGTCTACCTAGTTGCAGAGGGGGAGGAAAGAAAATCTTATCTCATATAGCAGAACAGGAAAAAACATACAGTGTAGTTAAATCGAATTCTCATTTTCACCCTGGAGCAGCATTTTTTATTTCTGAGAATAAGCATGCACATAATGTTATTACTTCAAATGCAAGGAACTTGTGTTCCAGAGGTACTTTCTTACCCGTCTTTTTGGCTGTGGGAAGCCATCTCTATGTCTCCGTCTTGCTCGTGAACGTGAATGCAAACCCAGTCCTTTACTGAGAGGGTCAAATGAGTCTGAAGTCAAATCAACACCATTAAGAGTTTAATTATATGATTTAACAGCCCAGGTAGAAGTGTCACTTAGATACTACGGTATACCTTACAGCTGGCAATCACACCTGTATATTCAAATAATGCTTCACCTTTGAATAATTAGGCAATATATGTACCTTCTCTATAAAGAAAGTAAATTCTCAGAAAAGGAAAAAAGCTCCCCCCGTTCCCCCAACAGTGGGTGTACTTATTCAGGCAAACTTATATTCTTCTGCACCACTCACATGGATTATACCTAGGGACACAGAAGTGATAAATTCAAAGCAGTCAAGCAAGACTACCTGCTACTCCTGTCAGGGGTACTGTAGAATGTTGTCTTTAAAGATAGCAATAATAAATAGTAATTTTTAGTAGAGCTGATACATTACTGCAGCTTTAAATATCCAATTTTACTAAATGAAAACACATACCCTTCATAAGCAGACTGCTGGTACAACACTTACTCAGAAAATCGTGCGTACTTTTATACAACAATGCATTTTTCTTCACATTATACAGACCTGATGGAAAATCTGCCTCCAGGTCCTGTTCCACATCACCTTTGGAGAACTGCTTCAGTTCTGGATCTGGTTCTGGCAGGGCATTTGATCGTAAGGCATAGTGATTTAACTCATCCTCCCAGCTGTGTGGAGTGGACACTGCTTCAGATTCTAGATCTCCACTATAAGTGCTACCTTGATCTGTAATGAGAGTGACCAGATATACCATATGCTATAGGAAGGGGCAGACAAAAAGAGGAATTTGCAAGAAAAGATACAGCAGGATCAAAATCCATTTGCAAAAAAAATCCAACTGACCTTTCTCAAATATCTTGGGGTCCAGGAAGAGCTCATGCTCAGATGTTTGAGATCCTTTAGAAAAAGAAGGAAATCTGTATCTACAAATGACTGACAGCTTACATAACTAATACAAAATACTTTGAACACCAAAAAACTATGTATTAGGTCACAATACTAACACACATGATGCGTCTTCTCCTCCACTAGACTTCTCCTAACAGCTTTCTACCTTGGTCATGCTGTTACGGGACAAACAGAAATGCAGAACTAACCCATGTTTGCTTTTCCAAACGTTTCCATCCCTCCATGTTTGTTATTTGAGTCATCTGTAGATAAGTAAGATGTTTTGTTCATTTCTTTTCAGCTTGTTCCACTTTTATTACATGGGATGATCACTATCCAACACATTCTAACCTGCATCACCCTCCAAAAATCCACCATAAAAAGCCTGACAGGAAAATATTCTCGTAAAGCAACTGCTCTGTATTCTTGATTTTGACTGCTTCTGCTAATGCATGATGTACTGATCTGCAGATTACTACCTCTAGCAATCTGTTACTGTCAACAAAAGTCAAATCAGCCCCTAGGATCAGGGAAAGGGAATGCAAAGACATTTAAACCACTGTCAGTGCTCAGTATCTAACATGGGTTTTATGCTAAGCATAGCTCAATTGAATATTGACTGATAAACCTCTGTGAAATTACAAAAGCATCAGAAAGGTGCAAGTATAACCAGCACCTGAGATGGGAACTATGGAGGAAGAGTAAATTAATCTTGAAAGAAAACATGTTTTCAAAACAAAGAACAGAATATTGTACACAGAGACAATTTTCATTGTGGAAAATAAATGTTGGTAAGACAACAGGACCATTCAACTTGACATGCATACTTGGGAAGCAGCCAATATAGGCCCCACATCTATTTCTCTATCTATTTTCCATGATGAGAGCACCTTCACCTCACTGCATTTAGTTTCCTTTTTAAAAACACCACATACCACCATGAGAGTGTGTTTTTTCTTTCTCCTCATCTTCTGCAATCATTTCTGCCATCTGAAGGAGATCAGCTTCAAATGGATTTGTGGGAATCTTTTCCTTGATATCCTGAATAGTTTCAATGATCTTATCAGCATTATCCAGGGTAGTTGGGAAGAGCATGGGAACTGGTACCTATGGAACACGTGGAAAATATTAGAGCATGTTTGGGGGTGAAGGGAAACAGCAAATACACAAGGGAGATTCCTCTCATTTAATCTTACATATATTTTAGAACTACTAAATTTTATTTTAAAATAACTCCAGACTGGACAATTTGTTTCATTTCTGCAATAACCCTACAAATTGGTAGTTTTGTGTGATGATGCTGAACCAAACATGATGCAATAACGAAAGAAATGGCTTCAAGGATTCCAAATACCACTTGCATGACTAGTCACAAAACCCAATGACATTGCTCTGTGTCCTGTTCAGAACCAAGACTGTAAACCAGTTCTCTAATGAACTGAAGTATAACTTACAGGTACTGGCATCCCAAGTGGAACTGGTGTGTACTGAGTGTAGAGGTGAAGGGGCACTGGCACAAACACTGGTACAGGAACAGGTACCACAATGATTTGGGGTTGAACTTCTTCTTCTTCTTCTGTTATATCAAAAATAGAACAAAACAAAAATTGTTTAACCATATGATTATCCAGTACACTCCAGAGTGTCCATGATAATTGTTTGGACTTCTGCTTGTAACTCAGTGTGCACAGTACCGCTTCTTGGTTCATAGTCATATTTCATTTTAGCATTGTTGTAACAAGTATTAATACTACAGTTTGGAAATAAACAGCACTGTGAATACATGAATGCTGGAAGGGAAGAGTGGAAATAAGTATTAAATACATCCAGGTAAATGGTGTGTTACTGCAATTATCTCATAAGTAACTACAAGACCTTAAGAAGGTACCATTAAAAAACTAACTACAATCTTCCCACTTAACTTCATCTTCCTCATTGAGAGGTTTACATCAACACTAGATACCCCCCTTCTATAGCAACAATGATGAAAAACCACTCCTCAATGACAGTCTGGACTATGTAATAGGCTTTGAAGGTGCTTTTGTTTCCTCCTGCCCACAGAGGGAGCTTAGAGCAAATATGAATCTAATGAAATGATCTTAGAAATAGGGACTTAATTTTCAGAGGTTCTTAGTATCTAATAATTAAAGGAAAGTGAGAGTTGAAAAAATCTTTGAGAAATCATGCACTTTATTAAAATGAGTCTGCTCTTGTGGCTTGTGCTGTGAGAGCTAAGAACTCACATATTCTGTCCTGAGGAAAACAAGTTCCCTCTGCAGCCTTTTGCATGTCACTTAACTATTGCACTTCATTTTCCACAGTTAAGATGATCGCAGAATGCTAAAGATGAGTTAAAACAAATCTCAAGATTCATCACACATGAAGCTTTAAGGATTTCAAAGAATAGTAAATGTTTTACATCTGTAAGACAAACTGCTACTTGGAAAATACCATACGACAATCTGAAAACTATTTAACGTTTTAAAACATAGTAAAAAATATTCGCTGTTACATAAACCATGCATTACGCTGTCAACTGCAACACAGTCTTTTATAAAATGGGTAGGAGATTAGATACATACCTGTCTGGCATTCTTTGTTTTGCGTGTGAGGTTTGCATGAAGTGGCCTTAGTCTGTGTGATTGGCTTGCACAATAATGCTTTGTTTTTTAGAAGCCTAGGTGGCTGTGATGGTGGTAGCTTTAGGGCATCTGTCTGAGTACTAGCCTGTTTGGAAAAATATAAATGAGGGCAGAGTCAGTATTGGTTTGAAGGATATCGTAAGATTAGTATTTGTTCTCTATTATGGGAGGTTGAACAACTTAAAACTCTCCTTGCTGACAAAAATGATAATTTAAAAACTACCACAAAAACAGCTTGCTAATGTATTTGGTGCTTTCTGGTTTTCACCTCAATTTATTTTAATCAAACAACAGGCTTTTTTTGTTGTTGTTAACAGTGCAGTGAACGAACCTGCAAGAATGTTTTGTTTCTGTAGTCAAATAACCTCTATAAACTTTTGACCTTGGAATCTTACGGATGGCAAAGATGTAAAGAGAAGTGATGTTAAGATACTTTTGATGACTAAAAGTCTGGCTGATACAGATACCCAAAAAAATTAGTAAACTGATGTGAAACCACTGGAAAGAAATAAAAGTAAAAAATGAACACAAATGCTGGCAGTATCAGTATCTCTTCCTGATTACACACAGACTGACTATTCATGCTTGTACTAATTTCATGTCCTGCTAACTGTAATTTTCAGTCATGCATTCAAATAACAGGATCTGTTTCATTGGGGAAGATTCATACTCTAATCCATAAATGACATTTCAGCTAAAAGCAAGGGTGTCAGTCTTCCAGAACATAAGAGCTACATAATAAAACCTTCGTATTTTAAGAGAGTTGCAAGATATATACCACATACCTCAAAGAGCTCAAGAATAGGAACTCTAGGAGTTATTCACAGATAAGCGGTGACAATGGTTCCCCACAGCTCTGTTACCACACTACTAGGGAGTTGGGAAGGAAAGCTAAGCTGCAAGAGCTTGGTCATGTCAGCCCCAGCAGCCCATGCTGGTCCCCTTCCTCCCATGCTAGTCCTTTTGACATTACATCCCACTTCTGGACACAAAAGATAGCCTCAAGTACAGAAGCCACACATGAACTGCTTGAGAACTACAGCCATCTCAAAAGCTACAATTTGACAAGCTTTGTCTTAAAACATCTAATCAATCTGTCAGTGGACAGAAAAAGACTTTTATACCATACAAGTTCTATCCATTTTTAAAAAAGCATCTGCAAGCTGGATGAATTTTAAATCCCAATCACAATGAGGAAAAGCAGTTACAAAATGACGGTGCAAAATTCTTGGATACTTTACTTGTTATTGACACAATCTGGGTGTAAGTGAGAAAAAGAGTCTCTTGTAAAACTTACATCTCCTATTATTTTTGCTGTCACAGTAGGGACTGCACCTGTGAAGAAAAAACATACAATAGCCTATGCACTTATCATCAAGGACCATAACCCATACTCTGCCAAGGTCAAGAAAAAGAATTCCCATTAAACCTCATTCCCTGGTGTATGTACATAAATTTAAGTCATTATTTATACCTAGGAAAAGGAAGGACAAAACTGTAACCATCTGCACTGATGTTAAGCATAATGAAGAAGTGGCTGTTGCCCTCAGCGGAAAAGATCCCTGAACAAATATAAATGTTCAGGAATAGAGATTTAAAAATACACGCATCATATTCAGCAGTCTTACCCTGTAAAACATTGTTGGAGTTAACCGTAGGCTGGGCAGCTGGGGTGCTTGCAAGGGACACCACATTTGCTATGACAGGGGTTGAGTCTTTTCTCAAAGAAGGAGGGCCTGATGAGGAAGCTGGTGCCATAGAAAGGTTTGCTGGACAGAGTGAACAGAAGAAAACTAAAATAAGCAATAAGATAATTTATAAAACAGCATTTCTGAAGCAACACCCACCCTCCAGATTTATCTCCAAATGAAAAAGCCTGCTATATGAGGAGACAATGTAGGTGTCAAACTGCAGCGTTTCAGTTTAAATAGGAGCTGGTTTCACAAGCAAACTTAAGCTGTTTTCCAGTTACTGAAACATTTCAGAAGTTCACCATAGTATAAAAGCAGCTTTCTCTTTGTAATACTATGTGTATTACAGCAGCACTCAGGAGACAAGAGGATTGGATACCTTACTGTGCTCGGTACTGAACATATGTAGTATAGGAGACAGTTGACATCCTGACAAATAATGAATGAGGTGAATTTTATGAGGCTCTCACAGTTAGAGGAAGTCTTAGGTTCTTTCCATTTGAAAGCACCATTCGTTACCACATTACCATGAATTACCACAAGTCATCAAAAAATACTGTTTTGAAGCACTCCATTATCCTGGCTGCCCCCAGCTCAGAGAGATGCCTGGAGACCAGTTTTGCAAAGGCATTGCACACTTGCCTCAGCTGAAGTTGCAGGCACACTTCTGGAGAAGCAGGCCCACCATACATTTTGCTGTCCTTACTAACAGTCAAATGTACTCACAAGACCAGGAATGTCACATGGTATAGTTATGGCCTGAAAGCATAAAGTTACTTATATATGACTCTTAATCAGGGAAAACAGCTCCCACCAATGTAAGCAGCAGATGCACACAAAGTTGAAGAGTTGAATATGGCCTGGTGCCTACTATAAACTCTCAGTTAATATTCTTTATTGCTTGTTGGGTACCTTACTGTTGCAGTCACCATCACTCACTGGGAGATTTTGCCCCTCTTTAGGATCAGTGCTATTTCTGCCCTTTGTTTCGCTTCCTCTTCCTGTCTTTGTGGGCCTTTCTTCCTTTCTTCCCTTTGCATTTCATTCCCTACAGAAACTCACAGTTCCTATTGTGGGCTTCATTCCCACCCTCCTTCCCATTCCATCTGCTAAAATAATGAGCAAGGAAACAGCTACAGCGCACATTAATCTTGGCATTGATACTTTTAAGCATCAACACTTAATGACACAGAAACGGTAACTCTTCATATGCCTACAGACTACACAGAACTGGCTATTTTAAGTTCATACATGGAAGTCTGTATTTACAACCAGTAAGTCTACCAATTTCACCACTTGATTTTTTTTGTTAAATGAACATTACCATTCTACTGTATCTGGCTATGTCTTATCAAGTCCAGGAGACAAGCTAGGTATTTAATGCGTCTTCAGTAGGTATCAGTACATTTTACCCTAATAAAATGGGCCTTTGTTTCATGAAAGTAATTGAAAAGTAAGTGCTTTTGTTTCATCTTCTTTAAAATCACAATCTAGAGGTTTGGTATATGAAGCAATCTCATTTCATACCTGCAGAGGTTTGAAATTGTCTGAAGTAAGAGAGAGATCGAAAACTGAGCCCATTCAACAGGCAAGCTCCCCAGTAGAGGATATATCTCAAAAAGTTCACTGAATCGAGTTTCCAAATAAATGTTCATATCACTATCATGCACACCAAAAGACAATACTATTCCCAGCCTGTTTTACCTGTGTTGTTTGGAGGTGGAGGGTCAGAAACACTTTGCTGATTACAGAACAACAGAATACAAAGCAGATTGCAAAAATGCTTGATCTCCCCTTGCCATTTCATGGACTCACTGAGTTTACCTTGTCTCTTACAACCATCACACTTTGCCATCTAGGAAAACAGAGTGAGGGAGAAATTAAACACACTTGTAAACAGCCACAAAGAGTGTGTGTATAAAAACTTCTTTGCACCCTGCTCAGCAAATATAGTGTAAAGAAATCTGTAAGAGTGCATCATTTTTGCAGTGTAACACAAAGCAGCAGAACATTCAATGCCTGTCTTCCCACAACCCATATTAAGTTTTCTCTATATAGAAAACTGGTACTCAAAAGTTAAGAAGGATTTACTCATCTCTCACATATATGTAATATATCCCATGGACACAGAAGTCAACCACAGGTAGTTCACATAGCTCCTAATGCACAAAGGCTCTTTTGCTAACACGTTTATATTTTAGAGGAAGCTATGTGAGAATATTGCTTACCTGGTAAAACAAAACTGTGAATTTAGACATGCACTCCTCTGAGCAAAATTCCTCCATTTTGCCCCCGAAGTGATTCTGGACCAGTTTGGGGGAAGCCTGTAAACAGTAACTGCACATTTTACAGTGGTTTCCCCAGCGCTTAGCCAAGTCATGTTTATAGAGCAGTTTACAACCTAAAAGAAGAGAAAATATCAAGAAAACAAAAGCATCCTTCAATATCAAAATGACATTTGCTCAGCACTTCTAGTTCTTATATTTCATTATGTCTGTAATAATTTGTTGAAACATACCATTAAAATGTAAAGTGTGAATGAAATTCCGTGTTTCTAAACCTAAAAAATGGTTTTCTAACCTAAACCGATTACGTTTCTCTTAGTATCATCAGTAATTTTAAGGCAAAACACTTCTGACTTGATTTGTCTGAGACACAATCTTGCCCTTTCTTACCTTCACTACAGAATGGCTTATCTATGCCTGAGAATCGCACTGTCTCCTTGATAATTTTCTCAATTTTGCAGTATTCACACATTGCCATTACACTGCTCCTCTTCTTATATTCATCACAGCAGGTCTTCCCACAAAACTGGAACATTTTACCCTGCAACACAGCCAGAATGTTTTGGTTTCAATGTCTGACATCCCAGATAATACATTTTAATTGTTAATAAAAATGCAGAAGCAGTTGATTTATGCCCTTGGAAATCAACAACAGACAGCACTAGCGAGTAAGTCTCCCCATTTAGCTTTATAACAAAGACAGCACAATTTTCAGCAGAAAGCCCTCACCAATATGCTTTGGCCTGGAATTAAAAGGATCATCTCTGGGACTAAGAATCAGGAATGTGCTTGGTTTTGGTTTTTTGGAGGGTTTTTTTTCTGTTTTTAAGATCAAAGAGCTAGTATCAGTATTAATTTTGATAATGGTTAAATGATACTAAAATCAGTTCCAAATTTCTCCAGAGTAGGTCATAGTAAGCAACAGAGCAGTACTGACAGACCATTGCATATAAGCTACAATTTCTTGGGTTTCTGTTGAGAAATGTGAGCTTGAAAAGCCCTAATCTTTATTACCTTGTAGTCAAGCAGTTCTGGTTTGGTTGCAAACAATCTGTTACAGTGCTGACACCTGAGTTTTACAACAGGGCGGGCAAAAGTGACTTGCTGGGACTGGGCAGCCAGCCTCTGTAGACCAGCTGCAGCTGAACTGCTCATGGAGCTGGGGGACACAGTCGAGGTGGTGCCACCTGCCGATACCGTTGCCCCCGAGGGAATGCTTACAATGACTTGACCTTGTGACAGAGGTACCACTGAGGAGTTCATTCCTGCAGGCTTGTTGAACAAATTCTGCAGGAAAGCAAATTGAGGAATAGACTTTATTTTACAATATTAGGTATTTTACCCGACATCCCAGACATTTACACCATCAATTTATTTTTCTGTTAATTCAGCTAAGAAAAAATCCTAGATGTCACACCTGAAAAGCTACTACACAACTGTAGCTGCAAAAATTGCGTATGCTCCCATCTGACATAGCCAAGTGATACTGAGGGTTTGCTGAAGTTTTACAGCTGTTGCACTGAACTTGAACACCTGAGGGTGAAACAGAGAAGAAAAAGCGATTTATGCAACATCAAGTTGTATTGCAGATAATTTTGCACTGTGCATACAAAACCAAAAAATCTGAATGACAAGCCAAGGTACACACAGAAGCCCAAGACGAAGTTTCTAGAGATTCAGAAGCAGACACTGCAGCTGCGGTGCCTGTTGCTTGCCAGATCCTTTAATTAATCTCCCAGTATCCCTAGGATGTCAGTAAGCATTTTTCTGTTTTACAAGAAAAATAGCTGAGAATATGTTTGCCTAGCTCAATGCAACATTAGGCAGAGGTAACTAAGCTAATCACCCTGGAGAACAAGGGGCAGAATAGTCACAGCAGTGGTATGATATATGTCCACAGAAGTGGCTTTGTCTAGCTGGGAAACCCACCAGCTGCACTTGCAAGAGCAGAAAATAGATTAAGGTCTATTATCATGTTTAAGCTCTCTCGAAAAACAAAGCTGAAAAGGGCTGTACTGTCACTGTTAGGTTTATCTATGGTAGAAAGTCTTTATGTTCCCATCTCAGCACCTCCCTTTAAAAAAAAAAGCCGCTTTCGATCCCCCGCAAAAGAATATCCACCTTAACTTTCAAGACAAATTAAGTTTGGATATGAGCTATACAAAATTATGCTTCTAAAGAAGAAGTAAAAGGATAAAGTTACCTGCAGAAGTAACCATTTTCACTCTATATGCTGACAAGCAGTTAACAGAGCAAAACAGTTCAGTTTTTCCCAAGTTATTTGTGCTCTCTATCATCTCGGCTGAAGATCTCAAAGATTTACACAGTGTGCAAGGTGTAATTTTAGCTGACTTCTGTGGAAACACGGAAATCTGTCATTCATTTGAAACGGTATTTTTATTAACCTGGAAATTAATCACTAACATATAAAACACATATAAAAGTGTCTGCCAGTGCAGTTGAAACAGCACTTATTTTACAGCTGTATTATTTATGATGCAGATATACTTATTTGATTTTTCCAGTATGCTTGTTGTATTCACACTTTGACCACCTGAGACTTGGGCTGTCTCTCATTCAGGGTAAGCGCTACCTTTGCAGGCCAGTTTAAACAGTACCGAGGCTGTCAGGGCGAAGGCCTCCAAGTGCAAACACTACTACATGTTGTAATAGCATGTACCAAGCACCTTGTATCAGCCGACTTCAACACTTCTGCTGAGAAGCAACATTTTGCTTATGATTTTTAATACATCAGCCCTGTATGTAAGCAATATTCCCATCTAACAGATGAGAAAAGAAACAGAGAGAAGGAGGTTCCTCTCTCACCCACAAAAACCCAGAAACTATCAGAATGTAGCTGACAATTGAGTTGAATGCTGTTTAAAAATCAGTAAAAAATAGGTAAGACAAGCTTTGAACATACTGTATTTTCAGGAAGACTAACATATATGAGGTTTTGATGTGAGACGCAAAAGCAGCGTGAAATCCCTCTCCTTTCCAGCTTATTTAATTTAATTTCCAGATTTGTTTCAGAGGACAACTAATGTAGGTAATTTTCTGGATGAAATACTTTTACCGGATTTTTTTTTAATTCATTAGGCCCTTCTTGGCCTAAGTGGCCTGAATAATGGGGCAGCAGAGTCAAGTTACAAAATGAAGTTAAACTATCTTATCAGAGGGCAATTTTTCCTAAATTAATTGCATTAAAATAAGCCAGTCAAAAATAATTGAGCTATTATAATAAATTAAGGTTCTCTCAACTGCTCAGCTCTTTAAGAGGCTCCATTATAATAAAAATTAAAATAGTAAAAGTTTAAAAATTAAAATCAAAATTATCAACTAATTATTACTTTTCCTCTCTACTTAATTCAAATGCTACAATTTAATAGAGAATACTCAAACAGGGAGCATCTCAAAGGCTGAAAAAAGTCACAGTGGACTGCTGCTGAGGGGTCCCATTGTGTCTTCTCTCACACTGGTATACTCTGGTAGCCGGTTCAGTGGTAAGGGAAACAGAGCAACATGTTTGGGCAAAGATTAAGCAGCAAATGGCAAAAGGAGTTATCTTAGACCAAGACAGTAACTGAAATAATCAACTAATAAATTGGGTGTTTCTTAGAACACCCAAAATCTAATCAAAGACATTATTTTTAATATTCTGTCAAAATATACCTGCTTGTATGCTGTCACACATGTTGAACTGCAGAACTTTTTTGACTGTCCCTCTATTTGAAGCATGTGACATTGGCCAGAGCCACTGTAGCAGTATCCTCCACAATTCTCACAGCAGTTCATGGTCAAGTTGTTAGCTGAGCGGAACTTGGAGAAGCAGGCATCGCTACAGAGCTTGTGTACAACGTTCTGGTAATTCACTTCGTGTCTAATCTGGAAGAAAAGAACAAAAAGAATATCTATGTTCACCTCTGAGATAGCAAGTTGTCCTGATCTAAAGGAAATTCAAATGAAAAAGAAGTTTGCAATTACCACTGCATTCTTCTGGCACATGCTGCACTTGGTTGAAATGCTGTTAGTATGAATAGTAACAACAGGTTTCCTTTTCAGTTCATATGTAGAGAGACATGACTGGCTGCAGAAATCCTTACTGGAGTTCGTATTGTCAAACTGGGCAGTGATTACATCCTTTGGATTTAGAATGTCTCTATGGAAAAAAGAAAAACAAACAAACAAAGAGAAAGAATTAATGTTGGTTTCACATCCACTTGCTGTCCTTTCTTTTTCTGCAGACTAAACATTCCTAGAAGAGGGCGGATTCATTTAATTTAAAGCTTTTCTTTTTGCTGATCTAAGTATCTGACTTCATTTTTCTTTTCCTATTAGGAAAATAGTTAAGAAGTACAATTCTCAAGTAGATATTTTGTGAAACATTTTGTACCTGGACTTAGGAGTGGCTTATAAATACACTAAGCTGAGTCATTAAATCTTTTGAAAAAGAACTGGGAAAAGATAGCTGTTTTGCAGTCTTTACTAAAAAAAAAATTAGAAAGCAGGATATGTGGAATAATTCCCTTTAACAATGAAAATACCAATCATAATGGGGTAGGGAAAAAAAAGGGAAAAACGAAAGGTCACAATTTCTAATCACCGCCTAGTTCAGTTCAAAATGGTCTGACTAGTATCGTAACTTTCCATCTCTTATCTCCCATCTATGGTTTTGTTTATTTGTTGCTGGATTTAACAAACTGAACTTTCTCCTTATTTCTTCTCTCTTTTGAAACATTTGTCATTCACAAAAAAGTTTCAAAGCCTTTAATCAAAAAAACTAGGAGGAAATATTTATATAATTTTATTGGTTGGAAGGATGCCTCCTTCTCACTTGTTTTGTCAGAGGTAAACCATTTTTCAACAGAATAAATACAAATTACAGCCAAGACTGCTAAACTTTATTACAAGGCTTTTTCACACTGAGACAGCAAGCGAAAAGCATAATTAATTGAGGTCTCAAGTTTAAGTTTCAGCTGACCTTGTAAAACCAAGAGTAATAAATTTGTTGAAGAAATGATGAACAAAGCAGCACTCCTTCTGCAAAGTAACTTTCATAACTAAAAATAATGCATATGAATAATTCTCCTCTATAAACAGATCGTAGCAAAATCAGTCTGCAAAGTTATTTATTTGCCTCAAGTTATGGTACAGTAATATAACACCTTAAAGAGCTAGTCACAAAGGTCTCCTTTTGCTAATTTGGACACAATAATACAAATGAAAAAAAATTTCAATAATTAAAATGTTTTTAGAGCTGAAGATTCAGGCCTGTGTTTCCAACAGGACTGTGGAAATTCTAAAGAATTTTTTCCAAATAGGCTCACACAAGCAAATGTCGCCTTTCCACTCTAGGCCTAGGTAGAAAGTAACCGACTTAGGTGCTGAAACCCCAACTACCTGAAAAACTCAATTCTTCATAAATTTAATCTCTCTACATCTTACGAAGGTCTAGCCACCATCAAATAACAGCAGCAGTGACATATTTTGAAGCGCTAAAACCTACAGATATCTAAGCTCACAGAATGAAGCCAGACTGGATAGTTAAATTTTTTTTAGAATATAAGGAAATATCCTGCCTCAAATACATTAATTTACCCATGTTTTATTTCATTTGAGGGGATTCAGTAACTCTATTTTCATCTGGAAGAAATAATAAAGAAAATATTTTTTGAAAACGTAGTCTTGTTAGTGGTTTTGAGAGTGCAATAACATTTTAAAATGGCAGGAAAGTGTAGTACCTTTTGAAATACAGTTTTTAATATTTGGCTCATTTAAATTAAAAAAGACAAGACGCACACTTCACAACAGAGGCTTTTAAATCTATGCATATGTAAAATCCAATTAACAAAATGGAACTGAAAGCGGACAGACCAATTAACAAGTAACAGTATTGACCACGACTTTTTGAAGAGAAGCGTAACAGGATTGGGCATTACAGAAAGAGCGTGTTGCGTAAAAAAGAGAATTGAAGCCTTTCATTATCTGCTTGAATATCAATTATTGCTAGAACAAATTAAAACACTGTCCTACTTTGAGCAGCTTGAGCAGGTTTTCTTGGTAGAAGCTGGTGGGCGAGAAGCTGGAACAGTGTATCCAGTGAGGCACAGTGTGGAGCAGAAGAGCTGGGTAGAGCCTTTCCTCTGGTATGCAGTTTGCCCCTTCTGCAGGATTTTTTTGCAGCCAGAACAGGAAACCCGAACAGCTGTGGTTGGAACTGAAGGAAGCATTTTGCTCATGCCAGAGGATGCCACAGCAGGCTGGAAACCTGATGACAGCTGTGGAGCTAAAAAAAAAACACAGAGAAAACATAGAGTAGCTGTGATATATGTATTGCACATAATTCACTTGTGTTCAGGGGGCAAGCACAAAGCTTATGACTTCATTTGGGTTGTCAGGGTCTAAGGGAGAATTAAATAGCAGATGAACTCTCCATAAATACATGCCCTGTGCTGGTTTTCTGCATAGTAGATTGTTTCAACCACTCTTAAGACCAAGAAAGCACTTTTAACATCCCTTTCACATTCAATTTTCCTTTGCCTCAAAAATACAATTATTTTTCAATCTCTGAATTTCATTAGCTCTAAAATAAACTAGTTCTTTTTTTCTACTGGGTCAGACATAGCAAACAAAATGCAGAACAACCTGCAAGACTATTTGCAAAGGTGATATATTTTACAGATTTAAATACAGTTAGTCTTGCCTATTCCTTACCAAGAGGACTGCCACTGACTGAAAATACAGCACTGATTTTCAGCTCCCCTTCCTGAGTTTTTGGCTGTTGGCCGTACTCCTAAAACAAAGGGAAAGGAAAAGGAGAACAAACACACATGTAATAACAGGTTACATGATTTCCATTCTTTCATAACGCTGTATTGAATCTTAAGGTCCAGGAACGCAAGAGTGAGTCTCCTAAGCCTGCTCCAAAGGCCAGGTTTACAGATGTAAAACTGTATGAGCACCACACAGAGAACCTGCTCAGAGGTTCACAGCAAACTACAACCAAGGGTGTCGTGTAGAAATGGAAAAGCGCGGCCGCCTGGCACATTCCCCTTTCCAGCTGTACTCCAAGACACCCCAGAATTCAGCCAGACAAAGCTTAAGAGAAATCTCTGCTTTCCAGTCACACAAACTAGAAGTGCTTTGCAGTCCTTGCCTCTATTCTGAAACAAGATTTATCTTCACATTCATAGACGATAATAATGAAATAGATACTGGAACCTAGATAGTGAGAAGCATTCTGTACTTAACCATGAGTTAAGTACCTTGGAGGAGGCTAAGGTGAAGCTTTGCAGCAGATCAAAGCTGGCACCACTAGAGCCAGACCATCACAGTCCTGACTTAGACTGGCTTCAGTGAGAGGGGAATAACCTCACATTTTCTACAGGATGAGAGAATCCCTACAGACAGTCACTTGTGGAATAGCTGACATACTATAAATTGCTAGCTTGCTCCACAGCAGCTACTTATACTTTGACACCATGCTTCTTGCCAGTGCTCTCCCTGGAAATCTGAACCATAAAGCAGCTTGCAATACTCTACATGTAAATCTTAATAGGCTGAAAAGCATAATCTCTTGGAACTACAGAGATGGTAAGATTTAACCTACTTACAGTCATTTGAGAGTAGTGAGGGCATGATGTCATGTTATGACTGAGCTAAATTCATGGTTGCTGTCTGGCTGCAAGGTAAGCTAATTCAAAATCACTAAGCAAAATTAAGCTCTCCCTTCTCAGTGGCAGTGGACTGCTCCCTCATCTTAAGCCATCTCCTAAAATCACACACTAACATCCACATGATATATGCTAAAACTTAACACTTCTCTTACTCCTGTGGGAAAATTACAAGTTTCTATACTAGGACAATCAAACTATTTCTCAACAGGTTTCCCAGGAGAGCAGGCAATGGTAGTTGTTCATCACGTGAACCATCAGACGGAAACACTCAAGTCTCAAGTAAGAGAAGCTTTTAAGCTGTGTCTGGACATGCCACGATGACGGGTTTTAAAGCACCATGTTTTTTTTAATATTACAATTTAAAAACTAGTTATTTACAGAAATACAGTTTTTTAAGCATTTTAACTGCAGTGTTATCCTTAGCCAATACTAGTAAGAGAAACGGAGGCAAATCCTGACATCAACTGTGCATGATCAAGCATAGTTTCACAGCAGTGTAACAGTGTTGAAAGCCAAGAACCTTCAGCTCCAACTATCGGTTACACCAAGAAATGCTCTTATCTTTCAGGATGCATGAAAAAACAAAAAAACCCCACATTAATTCCAATCTAAAGCAAAACAAAATGAACCTTCATCAGTTTTCATACTTTTCCAGTATCAGGCAGAGTTGATACTTACAGGATTTTACTCCAGGAATTAATATTTTGAAGAATATGATATTTGATATTTAAATTCTTTAAGTCTTCACTTTCACTTATTAATATGATCTTTGATAACCACAGACACCCTGCATTGCATTCCCCACAAATCCACACAGCCAGATGCCATCTTGGGAGGACAAAATAATAGACAGATTTAACTAACCTACACATGGTTTGACATTTGACGCTTAAGGAAAAATAAACCCAAACAATCTCACAGACACGGAACAAATCGAAGGGCAGTGAAATCTGAATAGTTTCAAATACTTAGTTTACTTCTTTGTTTTATTAAGCCAAGAGTATTATGGGAAAAGAAGAAAAAATGTTGGGAAGACAGGCCCAGAGAGAAGAGGAGGTATAGCAGAAGTACACAGAATGACACTAGAAAAACTAATGCCTGCACAAGAATACCAGCACTCTGGTGCCGATGGAAGTGGGATGAATCACGTTGGGAAGTTTTGCACACCTTTAACTGTAAAGTTTGGCATGTAACCCAAATAATAGCAGTGAGGGGACAGCAATTGCAAGACAGATCATTTCCCTGGTGTCACACGGCAAACCAGGGGCAAGGAGACCGGTTAGAGCTCAGCAATCCTTGCCCCAGCACTACTCAATCCATAGGTCAGACTTTCTCCATTTTGCAGGTATTGAACTTTTACCTGTATCGTCATTAAAAAATGTCAGTCTCAAATGAGAAAGTCACTTTGACACATGCTTAAATTGACTTCACTGACGTGTACATATTTAAATATTTTGCAAAGGTAAGACCTCTAAGTGTTAATTTAAAACAAGAACAAACAACAAACCACTGTGCTTGCAAAGATAACCTTTAAGAGGGAAGTAGCAGGAGTAACACTGTTTCAACTACACATTTCTAACTGTGACAACTCACAAAATATTCAGTAAAACATGATTTACATTTTATTTCCTAGTGAAGCCGAGTTTGAGATAAAGTGTCTACATTGCCACAGATTTAATAACGAAAGTTTTAGAGCACTTTGCTTTGTCTCTAACTGAAAAACAAAACATTTTCACCGACATGGTAACATGACATCAAAAAGTTGGGGGGTTGGGTTTCATGGTAGTATAAAAGGGAAAAATCCTTCTACTAAACTATGTTCTTCAAGTTAAATTTCGGTCAACAAACCAAATAAATTGCTGAATTTACGTCCAGCTTATGCGGTCAGCTGTCAGACCAAAATGAGAAATGCAATGGGAAACTTACCTCGGAATTATCAGGTTCATCTTTAATTTTGTCTAATAGTCCCTGCTGTGGGGCCATAGCTTTATCATATTCGTCATCCAAAGGCTCCTCCTTAATTCTAATATTTGGTGCAAAGGAATTCCCCAGCTCTTGTCCAATAGATTCCTTACTAGAAAATAGGTAGCTAGACTCCTGAAACAATAATATGAAAAAGAATTCACCCTCCTGCATCTGCCATTAGGAGTTGGGCTGCTGCCAAGGGGAGTTTCTGTTGCAGACCAAGAGAAATGGGTCCTGCCACTGGAAGGTGGGAGAAATGATGGGCAGCAGCTGCTGCCTCTACCTCCCTGCAGCACCCTCTGTCATCCCACCCCCAATCCTTTTCACTCCTCTGGACAAAGCAGAAGCCACCCAGCTCTCTAAGTTGGTTGTCAGTAAGGGCATTCGGCTGTTTGGGCAGTGTCTCCTGTTGATATAGCTGTTCCCTGTCTCATCTGGAAAAAAGGCAGCAAGTCAGATGGATGCATCCAGGTCTAGATTCGGTTCACCAGTCAGTCAGACCATGCTGAATATGAAAGTGGCTATCAAAAGAATCCTCAATCCAAAGAGAGGTCAGCAAAATTTTACAAAATTATATGCACTGTTTAAGTAGCAAAGATGTCTAAGAGTCAGAAGATCAGTTTTCTTGATACTCAAATTTACACTCAAATACAAAATACGTATTTTGAATTATTCCAGTATATCGCTGCACTTGCAAAAGTGTTTGAAAGATCTATAGCTTACCCTGAAGTTAGTTTCTGGAGTTTGTGGCGCTAACTGCGTCCGTAATGTTTCTTCTACTTGATTATGAACTGAGGAAAACATATACATTAAATATAAATGAATACAGATTCCAATGCATTTCCTTTAAAACTATCTAGAGTCTCATACTGATCCCCAACCCCATAGTCTGACAGCACCTCAGAAGTATTAAACTACTCCCTTTCTCCTCCCTGCAAATAAGACAGTAATCCTTAAAGAGAACTGATATTTTTTATTATTCTATTGGGTCATTATTTTCCCATTACAGCAAAATGGTTGTAAAATTCTGAGGCAAATTGTTCATTCAGAATTTTCTCCACCCCAGTGAGTTCTGAACTCTGCCATGTTTCGACATTTATATCAGAAATATTTTTCAGAGCAACAACTTTCATCCTTTTCTTTGCTGTTCTGGTCTTTTGCCTCTTCCCCCCTTCTCAGGAAACAGTAGCTTATGCTTTTTTAGCATGTATCTTTTTAAAAATACTGGATTTGCCTGGATACTGGATGCTGCCTATGAGCATTTACTATTGCTGTTTCAATTACTGACTACTCTACCCGAGCCTGCACAGCTTTCAGCCACAATCTTATAACTGTAGGTATTTACAATTTTCTGAAATATGTCTTTTGCACAGAAATATTCTTGATTTCTACCTGAAGGTAAAAGCAAAGAGACATCTTTAACTCTTCTTTATTTTAAAACCAACCATATTGTTTCTCTATCATTTGTGGAACCTGGAAGCACTGATTTTAAGATGCTGTTACTAAACATACAAAGTTTAAACACCAGGATTGTAAGCTGTGAATCTGAACAAATAGCCAGGAGGCTCTCACACGTTGGCCTACCCTCTCTCCATACAGTCTTCTGAATAAAATTAAATCACATGTTCCAGCCTGGTTATTCTTAACTCCTTCATTCACTGTTCTACTGTAACATTCAGAGCCTGGGAAGTCAAAACCTGGTGTGTGGGCAGCAAGACTACTGGCGACTGTCAGGCTCCCCCAAATGAGAAATGGATTACAGGCACCTCTGGTTCTCTCCATGTTGGCTGGACAAAGTCCAAGATGCAAGTATCTGAGGAAGAAGGAGAGCAGTCTCCCAGGACAAGCAGATCTCAAGTTACTCCCTGGCTGACTTCCTGCAGACACTAATACATTCCTAGCAAGCCCTTCCATGATGCTACTATGAAATGCATATTGCTTTAAATACATATACATTAATGAAGAATTGGTACTTTGCTCAAAAAAATCTTTCCTGGCCACCAACTTAACCTAAACTTCATCATCTTTTCTTCTGAGGAATTCCAAGGTCTATAAAAAACAGTGAGAAAAAACAAAAGGAAGCTTGAATTGTCACCCAGCTTGGTTTAGTAAACCACAACAACAAAGGATATGTTGAGGCTTTGAAACAAGCTGTGGAGAATGAGACCCCCCCCTAATGCTGCCAGACCCTTTTGCAAATCCTAGTCCTAATAGAGAGTTCATTGTATTTCAGGCTTCTTTATAAAATGCTTCCCTACATACAACTATGCATATCCTCTTCAACAAGATGATGTTTTTAATAACTAGCCCTATTGCTAATTTCTGCCTAGTTCTTTCTTCCTCTTTGCTGGGTAGCCAGGTCTACGATGTCAACAGTTACCTGCTTTGTCAAGAAAACTGCTTTTCAATCTAGAATCCATATCTTTAGGGATTTTTTCCAACCGTTTTTCACGTTCTTGAAAATGTCCTTCTCTATTCTTGTCCTTTGCTGAAAAAGTCTCTTTGCCATTATCTCTTGTTATGCTAAAATCTTTTCGAATTGATTTAAATACAGGGCCCTGCTCAAATGGTGAAGTGAGATCCTTTTGGATTGCATTCTGAATATGAATTTCTTTTTCACTGTCCAATTCATGTTCTGAAACTCTCTTGCCCTCTTCCAGATGGTCTTCATCATGAATTGCTGAAGAAAGAGTATCTTTTGGAGTGAAATTTTGATCATCTTCGTTGTCACTCCCAACAACAGGTATGCCTGCAAGATCCCCAGAGTTCAGAAAATAATCATCATCATCATCCAGCAGTGAGTTTTCAGATCCTGTTCGATTCTGTATTCCATAAGATATGCTGTCGAGGGCAGGTGTTAAGTTGTGGTCAGTGTCCTCAGACATTTCTGCATCCAGAATTTCACCACCTAGGGAGAAAAAAAAAACCATAAACAGTCAGAAAATTCACCAACTTTATGTGTAACAAAAGAAGAGTGTAAGTGTCCTTTGCTAATCTGTCTGATGCTGTAATTCCTTGAATAAGCCTTCTTGGGCCTTCTTTTATTACTGATAAAACATTGCTGACATAAGAAACAGTTCTGTCCCACTCACCACGAAGTGAAGCAGAAGCTGAGCTGCGTAAAACTAACCAAAGAAAGAAAAAACATTAACTTCAATTCACGTCATTTGTAACACTTGTGGAGAAGGCAATTGTCGTGGTTTAACCCGGCAGGCAGCTAAACCCCACACAGCCATTCGCTCCCTCCCTGCCCCCCCCCCGTGGGATGGGTGACAGAATCGGGGGAGGGGGGGAAGTAAGATTCGTGGGTTGAGATAAAGACAGTTTAATAGGACAGAAAAGGAAGGGAAAATAATAATAATAATAGTAGTAGTAGTAGTAGTATAGTAGTAGTAGTAGTAGTAGTAATAATAATAATAATAACAACACCACCACCACCACCACCACCACATACAAAAAAGTGATGCACAATGCAATAGCTCACCACCCACTGACCGATGCCCAGCCTATGCCCAAGCAGTGGCCCCCCGGCCAGCTTTCCCCTAGTTTATATGTTAAGCATGACGTCATATGGTACGGAATATCCCTTTGGCCAGTTTGGGTCAGCTGTCCTGGCTGTGCCCCCTCCCAGCTTCTTGTGCATCCCCAGCCTTCTCAGTCAGTAGAGCATAAGAAGCTGAAAAGGCCTTGACTTAGTGTAAGCACTACTTAGCAACAACTAAAACATCAGTGTGTTATCAACATTATTCTCATACTAAATCCAAAACACAGCACTATACCAGCTACTAGGAAGAAAATTAACTCTATTCCAGCTGAAACCAGGACAACAATGCAGGGACGGAATGAGTAGCAAGGGCTAGGAGGAGGGCAAGATAGTCTTTTTCAGCAGCAATGATACTTATAAGAAATGTTTTGTGAAACTATGGATTTATATAAATAAATAAAAATACTTACATTTTTCTGTAATATCAAATACCGCATCAGATTTATCTTCAAACTGTAAAAAGGAAAGCACTATATCATTATCTTGGTCAGCTGCCATGTACTTTGCTAAAAACTATCCGATCAAAAACAAAACAAACAAGAAGGATCACAATTCCTCCTCCTTCCTTTCTTGCCCCAAGCAAAGTTCTACGAATTAAGACTGTTACATTACTGAGAAGTCATATTTACCCTAACAAGCTCAGAAGTACATAGAAAAAGCAAACAACAAAAATTTAGAATCAGCGTTGCTTCCCAGAGAAGGTGAAGGACAGAGGAGAGGGAAGGGAAGGTCAAAATTTTCACTTCTGCATGAGATACTTGTACCAGGTCAAGACCACAGATTCTGCCCTCTTTGACGCTCTACGAGCCTTCATTTCCTCTGAACGTTATAAACGGAAAAACAGCAGCATATACAGCTTCCACTGACGTGGGCTGCACAGATCCAAAGGTTTCATCTCTCTAACAGGGAATGTCCCCTTTCCAGGAACAGTGAAATGTAATGCTTAACTTGCTAGCAGTAACGAGACAATAAGTGTCAATATGAGCGTAACCAAAGAAGAACCAGGTGATGACTCTGAGTGCTGTACAAAACACCCATTTATGTTAAACATTCTCCGTCAGACATTAAAGTTGGCGGCATGCTTGAATGCTGTCTGAAGAAGTATGCGTGCTCAGCGTAAGTAAAGTTTCCTTTAGAATGTCCAACTCATTAGCATCCTTCCTTTCTGCCTAAAAGATAACAGCAATTCATTTAAGTCATCTCTCCTTTCTCTATGTCTCCAGCTCTACGCTTTGATTTCTGGTAGGTCCTGCTCACACTTTAATTCTTAAGCCGTCTTAAGGAAAGTAATGGGATTTGATAGCAAAGGGATGATCTCTAATTTCATTTAACTCAAGTCATTCAATTGATAAATCCGATATTCCACAGGACTGTGATGGGAACTATCAGGTTAGTAGCAGCCAGCTCCAGGAAAGGATGACAACACATTGTCCCAGGGTTCATCTGACAGCAAAAAGTCCGCCAGTCTCTTTCCAGTATCACTTGCAGGTCTACAAAGACAAGTTAGCTCCTTCAGCTTAATTTGACACACATGGAATAGTGAGGACCTGTCCAGCATTGTGATTATCAAGACAATTTGATACTGCACCAAAACTTTCCAGCTTCTCTGAGCAGATAGTTGAGGCTGGAAAAGTGAAATACAGAACCAAAAAAAAAAAAAAAAAGAAAAAACCTTACACTTTTCCACAAGGCCAATGCAAGTCTATTCATTGTAATTATCTAGAGGAAAAAAGAGTAAGGAAACACCTTCCAAGGAAGGTTTGCAAGGCCTGAGTTTTGTTACTGCTGTAATGATCCTAGGAGTGTCTCCAGAGATGCAAGTTTAATGTTGATCTAGAAGTCCACTTGTAGTCAACTAAGTTTACACTAGTGTAGAATTAATCCCCATAAATATTGGATATACTTAGTGCTAATACCAGATGCTGAGGACAAGGATAGCGGTGGTGTACTGTTTTTATAGAAGAACAGAAAAAGGAACTTGTTGCCATTTGACAATAATATCAGAGTATGAAGCCTTGGGAGACAAAAACGATAGCCTAGGTTCTCTTCTCTATGCTGACCTTCCTTGATCCTTTTCTTGCTTCCTGTCAGTAATGCTCTTTCTTCTCCAAAAAAGTCTCAGACAATTTGCCGGTAGAGCAAGAGAAGTTTTCAGCTGAGATGAAGCATTAGATCGTCCTTTTCTCGAAGTAGGTTTTGATCAAAGTAGTTCTTTAACTCTTTTGAGATCCACAGTACCTGTGGGAAAGTATTCTAGGTTCTACCACAATCCTGGTTACCTTATACATCTAAACCCTAGGTATTCCTCCTCCTCCGGTGACAACAAATCTTTTAATAATAAGTGACAAAACCAGAAATGCTCTTATTAGGAAAAGAATACATTTTGCAGTCTGGACCTCTCTCACTGTTTCATTCAAAGAAATGACAACATGCAAGTCAGCACAAGGGGCCACCTGCAAGAGCGCATTAGGGATTATCATAAATATTTTGGATAAATTGGAAAACATTTACAATCTATCTGGAAGGAATCCAAGACACTTCCCAACCACAAGGTCATCCTAGGGAAAAAAAAACCCTATTTTGTTTCTTTTCTCTTTCTTTTGTGAGGCTATGAAAATAAGAGATCATCTTGAATATTTTCTTCCTTTAAAAGGTTTTAGGGTACAGAGGAAGATCTGTGTCTGTGGCAAAAGCATCCATTGGAAATATTTATAAAACAGGAACTTCAGCATCTGATAATACTAGCAGTCTTATCTAAGCCACCATCTAGTTTCTGCCATGGTGAACGGCATCAGAATTCCCACAAGGTGTAAATCCAAAGACAGAAAACTACGGGAAGTGTTTGTATGCTTGTGTGTGTGGATACATATGTATCTACATACACATAAATATATATATATATATCCCAAATAAACTACTCATTCCATAACAGTCTATAACTGGACTATGCCCTGAAATCAGGGCTCATGTACTCTTTTTCTGAATTAGTGTGGGGTATTCTCTCAATTATACACACTTCTATTCCCTTCCTGAATCCTATTACAATCTTGTTTAATGCCATCTCAGGAGGAAATTTTGTATATCAATAGTTACATAAAAATGTATCACTTTAATTAGTCATATAAGTTGGCTTTCACTGGATTATGGTCTTGTATTACACAGAAGTTAAGTAATAATGCCCAACTTACTATTTCTACATTATTCTATTACATTTCTGCAAGGCAATTCCCTCTCTCACCAGTCCTCATGCCTCCTCCTTTGATTAGCTGCCATGACTCTTAATTCCCTTTATTTCTTCTGCTCAGATTTTTTAAGATTTGGTGATTAGTGGAACAAAAGTACTCTAGAGGCAAACATGAAACTAATTAATCAGATGGCGTTTCCTATGGGTCATTTTTGACAGATCTAAGAAGAGGTACCTCAATATCCCAGATTAAGTCCTACATAATTACAGAATGGAAAGTATCAGGAAGTTTTCTGTTAAAATACACTAGGCTTCAACTTCTCAACACAGTCCTCAAAACGCACTTGCAGTTATAAAACAAAACTCAAAAAATATCGTATTTTAAAACACCTTCATTCAATCACTTTGGCTAATATTTTGCCAGAGAATAACTTAATGATACTTAGCGCTTTTAGGTAGTGAGCATTCCCTAAGAGTTTAAGACAGAACAGTTTAAGTTTGATATTAGCAAAATTAAATGTTGTAGGATATATCTTTCTTAGTGACTCTGTCTCATTAGCTAGCATTGTACACAAAGCAATGCTCTGCCTACACAGGTTGTAATAAATAAATGAAACAAGAATACAGAAATGGCGACAAAACAACTAGTTATTCCCGGAAGCAATGTGTTTTGCTTTAAATTAACTACTCTTTGCATAAAGACAGTACCGCTTTTATAAAAAAAAAAATTCCACTAGGTATGTCAGGGGGTTTTTTATAATCGTATATTAGACTCTAGGGGAACAGTGTTACATCCTCAGCACTAACACGTCTTTGCTTGGAGCGGGTGACAGAAGGACACTGTTTACACTTTAATACAACGTGCTAATTTGAAATAACTAGAAACCTGTTCAATACTTTAACGGCATTCAAAGTTGCCATAGCATCCATAAATCAAACAATTAATAGATTATTTCTGTGCAATATAAAGAGAGAAGCTGCCTATGGTTACAATCTTGTTTTATATGCAAAATAGAGAATTTCTTTAAAAAATAAACAAAACAATGTAACAACTTTACATACACAGGTACATATCTTTCTAGCAAGCCTTTTGAAGTTTGATCCTAGGTTTTACTGCATCCATAAGCAAACTGTGGAAAGGAAGCAGATATTAAGAAAACTGCAATTAAAAATAGTCAGAGATGATTCTCAATTTCTTGTCTGTACAATTTTCTTGTCCCTATATATGCAGCATAACCCCCCACTTCAGAATTCATTGAACTGATAAGGAAGACACCATTTTAAAAAAAGAGTCATTTAAATTGTAATTGCTATTCTTGAACCAGGTGCGGTGAGCTCAGGAAGCATCCCCTGACCTTTTACACATGACATCCCTGGAAGGGATGCCAGGCAGCCAGCCAGCCACGCTGCACTTCTGCTACAGGAAAACTCTGCAGCACGAGCAGAATTAAGCAGCGGGTCTCTCCCAGAGCTGCTTTCCACCGAAACACAGACAGACCTATCGATTCGTACCTTCGGAGCACCTAGGGAGGGAAGAGCAGAGGGTAACAAAGAGCCAGCCTGCTGCAGATACCTGCTACAGGAAAAGAACCGCTGCGGCAGGAAGAGAACCCGGCGG